GAGCCCAGCCCCACTGGTGAGTTGGATAACATAGTTAACTCTTACTCGGATTTGTTCAGAGGCCTTAGCTAAGGCTTGTCCTGACCCTATACCTAGGGGAAAGCGAAAACCCCACTGGTGGTCTCGAGAGTTGGACGAACGGCGAAAATCCTGCAGAGTGCAGTTCAACAAGGCAAGAAGGCTGAGTCACGAATCTGAGTGGCAAAGATATAAACAGTTTTTGCGTGAGTACAAGAAGGCTCTGCAGGAGGCCAAAAGAGGTCTTCCTGGAGGGATTTTTGTAGTAGTGTCGAGGGTAATTCCGAGACTTTCAGATTAAGGAAAATTCTTGAACCAGATCGGGTTTCTGCAGAAGCAATGGTTCCTGAACCACGACGGGAATGGAAACGATGGAACTGCCCTTGGACACACCTTCCTTCGGGCGGCGTAGGAAATGTGCCTGTCACAAGGAAAAGGATTGCTTGGGCGATACAAAGCTTTGAGCCCTATAAAGCGGCGGGGCCAGATGGGATTAATCCCGCACAACTGGCTGTGACGCTTGAAACCTCTGTAAATTCGCCTATGAACATCTTCAGTGCCTGTTTTAAGCTAAATTACATACCAACAGCATGAAGATCTGTCTCTGTGGTGTTTATTCCTAAAGCCGGTAAGGCTTAACACACAAATCCAAAGGATCTCAGACTTATCAGCCTCTCTTCCTTTGTGCTTAAAATCCTAGAAACGATAGTTAGTAACTACCTATCTTACACCATCGATAGTCAACTACTGTCTAACAATCAACATGCCTATATGAAGGGCAAGTCCACGGAGGCAGCACTACATAGCCTGGTCAATTTTGTTGAAAAATCCTTCAGTTACAAAGACTATTGTCTTGTAGCCTTTCTACACATTGAAGGAGCTTTTAACAATAAAAGTTCAGAGGCCATAATACAGGCGTTGAGGGGACTGGAGGTAAATAATTTTCTGGTGGAGTTTATAAGGCAAATGCTCTTGTGCAGGGTGATCACGCAAAACGTCGGTGAGAACTCTGCTTCAAGATATGTGACAAGGGACACTTCACAGGGTGGCGTGCTCTCGCCACTCCTTTGGAACTTAACCGTTAACTCTCTCTTGCGAGAGACAAAATGGGGAGCCGCCAAGGTTGCTGCGTATTCGGATGACGTTGCCATTGTGTATAGGGGGAAGTTCCCGCAAACTCTGTGCGAATTGATGCAGAGGGCACTTCGCGCTGTATCAAGATGGTCCACGCGCAGTGGTCTCTGCGTCAATTCAGAGAAAGTGGAACTTGTTCTCTTTACGAGAAAATACAAAACACCGCTGCTGACCCCGCCTGAACTAAACGGGGCAATCCAGACAACTCCAAATGATGTTTCAAATATATTTTTGGATCTTCCGCCACTAGATCTAGTGGGTCAGCAGATGGCATCTCTTGCTGCACTTCGGTTAAGAGAGACAGGGCAATGGGAATCGGGATTGCTGGGTCACTTCTGCATTCTGAAGAAATATAACTTTCTTCTCGGCTGTACCGACCGTTGTGTAGAAACTCTGGTTCCGGATAGAAACTTCGTCATGAAAATCCCAAGCAGGGAGGAATGGGAAGAAAACTACTATACCACCTGGTAGTATAGTAATTTTCACAGACGGTTCAAAAATGGGCGGCGGGGTGGGAGTGGCGTCCGTTTCCCGAAGCCCTGACCTGAGCCGTTCATCACATTGAGGGTAATTGTAAGCGGGCGAACTTGCGAGGGGGGCTACGACCAAGCAGATTCTTCCCGATAAAGAACACACTGGTATACCCTCCAGTCGCTCGTTGGAAGAGCCGGATTCATAATTTGTAGCATCCTAAGGATGCGCTCCAGCGATGATGGCGTGACCGGCACCCACGCTCTGGCCTTAGGCCTGACAGGAATGCCTTTCCAGTCCACCACCTCCAGATTTGCTCCTGGGTAGACAGCTCCCACCTTTGCGACGGCGGCCTTATACAGCGCCACCGACCTCGCATCATCGCAAGCCACAACCTTGATGTGGCCCTGGTACCAGCCGAATATCTGCACGCGGGAGGGGCTCCCGGGTTCTCCAACAAGACGTCAAAAATGTAGTTTGCCAGAGCTGCCTTCACCCTTCTTCATTGGTCCTGAGGGATGGAGGCGAGTTCGTTGTGGCGGTCAAGAACCCCAATAAGGATCCTGTCCCTAGCAACTTCAGCCAAGCTAGGTCTAGCTGCCCGGAGTGCATCCGGATTTTCTTAGGTTGAGGCTGTTGTTCCTCCACCGCTCTTTGCCTTTTGGTTTGGCTTTCCAACGAAACCCCAGCTGTGGTCTGGAAGTTTGGGAATAGGGCTTTCGCTCTCACTATCGCCTCCCTCGCACTCTGAGGAAGCGTGTACGACCTCACCCTTTCATACATTTTAAGAGTTTTGGCCGCCTTCCGCTTCTCAGCGTGAAGGGACCGCTCCTGTGCTTTATGCTGAGAAGGGCCGCCCGTAGTTTCCCTCGCGGCGGCTCCCCCAGTGTTAATTTTTGTGGCCGCTTGTCGACTTTCCCCACTTGAGCCAGGTCGTGAGACCCCTGCCCCCTTGAGATAAGGCTTCACAGCCGTTCCGGCATTTGGTGGGCACCCAGGCCCAGGAGCCACAGATTGACCTGCCGTTGCCAGCATAGTCTCTGCAGCCTTGCTGTTGCTGGGCCCCACCATAACGCCCGTTATCACGGAGCGACATGAAGTTTCCCCCAGAGCCGCCCCGAAAATGCCCTCTATATTGTTAGAAGGCGCACTACGCGCATGCGCCTGCGCTGTCTTTCCCCGAGACGAAGTGTGTGTTTTGTTTTCTCAGTTTTAACCGGCTTGTCCATTCTAAAAGAGTCTCCACTCGAATCCGCTATCCTCACTCGGGCGTTGTGGTCACTATGGGATCCCATGGGTATCTACGAAGACAGGGAGGCCATGCGGTGGGTTGACCCCTCACACTTAAGGGGCAAGGGATCAGGGCCAGATCCAGTGAAAACACGGGATGGCGTGTCAACCGTTACCTACAACCACCAACTTAACGGCGACGAGATCGGAACGTACTTCGAGGCCTGCCAGGTTTTTAACGGGACGGGGGCGGTCACGGCATTAGCCCGAAAGCCATTTCTGTAGGGTGTCACCCCTACATACTCAGGTAACAGAATACCGCAACCACCAGCTCAAGGCGAACAAAATCAAATATGTTGAGGAAATTGGGGTAGTCCGTGGACGAAAGCAGGATCAAACCAGGGGAGATGTTTCACCTTCCTTTATCTGTTCCCAAACAGGTTGAGGTTAACAGTGCCACCAACGTGAAGGAAAATGAGGAGATTTATAGCGAGAAGTGGGAAGGCATCACATCCGAAGATCAGCCGCTACAACAATAGCAACAACATCAGCCGTCGCGTTGAACTTCACTACCCTTTAGGCACGTTTTGGAGTTTAACTTTAATTAAAAAGGTCACAATAACTATAATTAAATAACAAAAATTTAAATAATATTTTAAAAGCAAAAAAAATGTAAAAACATGTTCCTTGGCAGTGGGATTCGAACCCACGACTTTCCGGCTTGCTAAATCCGCAATCCAGCAGCGGGCACAGGGTAAACTAATTAAAATACTCATATTTCTATATATTGCCGGGTAAATTTTTTCTCTTCGTATGGATAGCACTGCTCTCTCTCATCTTAACAAAAACCTGTTTCTAAGATATCTATGATTGCACAACTTAAAAATCTATTCTAAACTTAAAACTGTATTTTAACAAGAATTAGTTTTAATTTGCGACCATTACTATGGTTATTTAAATGTATGTAAAAAAATTAGCAAAAAACCTTTTTTCCTCTACGTGGATAGAGAAGAAAAAAATTGAGGCCAGTGCGGTTAGGCCGACTGTGGAGGCAGTGACTACAGTGCTGAAATACAATTCAATACCAACGTGGAACTCCAGCAGAACCTAGGCATGGAGACAGAAGGACCAAACGGCGCTGAGGAATTTGTTTTTAGCGACGAAAATTTAGGACCCAATGAAAAATTAGATGAACTGTCTGAGCTCAGTAGCTCTGAAAAAGCTTGCGAAATGAAGTTAATATTTGGCAATATATTTTTACAAATAAAGAACACATAAACGAAATCATATTATATTTGTTAATTTGGTTTCATGTATTTTTGGATATTTCGCTGCCATCTATTCACTTATTACAACGCTTTTATCAACTTGCAATGTTGTGGCTCCAGAAACTTTCAATGTTGTGGATCCAGAAACTTTCAATGTTGTGTGTCCGACACCATAAAACCTTTGCTTTGAAAAGCTCCTATAAAAAAGCATAGTGCATAGGGCGACATCTGTAGTGAATAGGGCGAGGTAGATGACATCTAGATGTCTCCCTATGTACTACGTTTGCTACAGCGGAAATCAGGGTTCGTATTTGCAAACACATGTGCTGCACATCCTAACATTTTACGCTCACACACGTGTGCTGTGCATATAAAAAATTAAAAATTTGCTCACATCACATGTGTGTGCCGTTTGGTAAAAAGCACGGGCACATGTGTGTACTTTCTTTTT